AATCTTTCAGAGTTTTTGTAAATAAATAACGAACCAACATATTTCCATAAAGTGAATCAGCCAGGGTGGTGTGTCAAGTCAAGTGGCAAGCATTTAATATACGCTGGAAGAAGCAAGCCAGTAGACATGCCTTTTCGAATTCTAAGTGAAGCAGTTACACAAAGACTCCTACGTTGAAGGGAGTGGTCGGTTGCTCTGGAATTTGAGAGAAGATAGTTACCAAGACTGATTGAACTTTCGAAATTAAAAGGCAGCAATGTGGAAGATTGATAATCCTAACAAAACAAATGCTGCTTCTGAGACTGAGAGAGTGAGAGTAAGAATGACATGAGCTTGGAGTTATTTTTGATATGAAATTTGAGGTGCCTGTGACAATCCTTTGTTATTGGAGGAAAGACTGCAACCTATAAAAGATTAGAATTTGAAGGGCAATGTATAGTTTAGCTCACCCACTTAATTTTTTTCAAGAGTATTCCATCACTACGGGAAGTCTAGATGTACACATCCAAAAATGTTTTGGGGCTCTTTGTTTATTTCTCAATTTGCTGTTAACCTAAAATGGATTTTGAATTTTTCGATAAAAAGAAGTGTTTTTCGATACAAATCCGCTAAAAGACCTGATATGATTGATAAACCTAATTCCCAGCAGCAATTAGGGTTTGACTGCGGCATGCAGGACAAAAAAAAATCGAACTATTCTATTTATCAATTTTTTGGATATTTATAAAACATTTTAGGTGAAGCATACTAACTTTTGTGTGCACTCATTTTTCTGGTTCACTTAATTTTTTTAGCTAGCTTACAATTTTTGGGTAGAATTTATCAATTTTTAGGGTAACCTTTTTTTTTTTTTTTTGGTTTTTTTTCTAATTTTCGGTATAAATTTTAGTACAATAGTATTTCCCCAACAATTGTGGCAAAAATTATAATTAATAATAGTTTTTGTGTAGTAGAGTATGAGAGTGAAAAAACAAGGGGGAAGCAATTTGAATATCAATGCATTGGAAAACAAGAACAGGTCTAGCAACGTCATTTTTAGATTCGTGCAAATGAGATCCATATCCTCTTCAGTATATTTTCCTTTCAATTCTCTTCTTGACGCAGTGTTTAACATTAATGAGTGATGAACCTACTTGTATACAATGAGTCTTACTTGAATATGTAGAGATTGATATGTCAACAACACAATTGAAAAGGATGATATCTCGTGCAAGATTAAAATTTAGAATCTCGAAGAAATAACTTAAAATCTTTTCATAGATTTCTCACCGATTCTTCGCCCTCGGTTCTTTTACTTGAGCTACCATTATGATTAAGTTACATATAAGCTTTGTTTGCTGAATATACTACATCAAATTGCTGAATATACTAAATCAAGTTGCTAATTATTTATTTTTTTTAGTGCTTCAAATGCCCCAAACAAAGTCCTGCCAGTGTTTATTCAAATTCAGAGCCCCTTGACACAAATCTTGTCTCCATGCCCCCCCCCCCCCTCTCTCTCTTCTTTCCCATCTAGTTTAAGGTAGAAGGGCCTCCAGATTCCCAGATTCTTCTCAGGTAATCCCATCTCCCAAAAAGCCTAAAATATTCTTCTTTTTTTTATTATTTATTATTTCATCATACAGACCCCTTAGCACCACTTTTGATTGTAACATCAAGTGGATGTTCTAGGCATAAAATTTAGGAACTTATTTGTTTTTTTCCAACGGTGAGAGGTCTTTGAGTCAATTTATATGCATTTTAGTTAATCCCTTCTTCGATTTGATCAAAGATAGATCATCCACTTCGAAACTAAGATAATAGCTTGATCTCAAGAAGTTACAAAAATTTAAATTCAAGATGTCTAAATTTATAATTCGTCCCTATTATCACTTGAATTACCTCTCAGACTTAAAATACAGAAACTACACATATGTAGTGGGAACAAGATCCCTCATGTTTTGATAGCATACTAAGTCAAATTTCTTTCTTTAGTGGTTGTGCATATTTAGGATCACACTTGATATTTGAACCATTCATTCTCATTATAGATTTTGATTATGCTGCTAGTTTCAATGAATCTTATCCTTCATGGTTAAATTTACTCGATATCACTAATTGTTTATCAATCCTACATGAATTTAGTGAAGGATAATTGAATTTCAGAAAATTAAAACTCAGAGGATCCAAATCTATGAGACTCGTCCCGTTTTTGGTTAATTAAAATTTATATTAGGATAATTACAATTCAAAATATAAGATTGACTCGAGATGTCACCATCAACAGAATGAATTTTCCTATGAACAACCTAGAATCGTCCAAGCTAAACACCCTTTGACTTCATAACTGCCACGTACGTTTGAGACGTTTCACAATCATGCGTAAACCACGATTAACGCATCAATTAGAAATGTCACTCGAGAGATTTGAACTTGAGATTTGAAGAGATTAATAATTGTAATCAAAATCATCTGAAAAATCTGATGGGTTGTGAATGACTAATAATACTTGGTGCATCATGTAAGTAAAGAAATAAATAGCTAAGAGATTAGATAAGTGGGGTCCATTCAGAGTAATGTAGCCATAAACCCATCACCCATTGTTGACAAGAAATTGACCAATCTCAAGTTAATCATAATGATATTCTAAATAAGCCACCACCTAATGCCACCAATGCATTGCATGTATTGAATTAATTGGCAAAAGTTTTGGGTGGCCAATGAGAATGTATTCCAAAAGGATCTAATGTCAAGTCCTTCAATATAATAATCATAATGAACATAGACCATGTACATGGAATATTGAAAAGAAAATTACACTGTCATCCCTCATATTATCTGATAATTGTTGGAATTTTTTTTTTATTTTTTGGAATTTTACAATATTGTGTTTTTATTTTTATATTTAATGGGATGATGCCCCATTAGTCCACAATTAGAAAAGATAACTAAACCNTTATTTTTTGGAATTTTACAATATTGTGTTTTTATTCTTATATTTAATGGGATGATGCCCCATTAGTCCACAATTAGAAAAGATAACTAAACCTTCCAACTACATTAGTTCTCGTGCTCTAATATATGTCCCTCTTGCAGGGGGAAAAAAATTCCTTGACCATTTATACTAACTCCTACTAAGAGAGAGAGAGAGAGAGAGAGAACTGCTAAGTTCTAAATTGAATGATTAATGACTCCATTAGCTTTGCTAGAGACAACAATTCCTGACATGGAATGTAGTGTAATTTAAAAAAATTGAGGGTAAGTCCTATAATTTTCAGATACCGCGCAGGGGTATCACTTTAAATTTTCTATTCTTATAGTAACCTTTTTGTTTGGGGGGGGGGGGGGGGGGCCGAAAAATTTAAAAAAAATTGGGGCAACAAAAAAATATAAAAAAAAAAATTT